TGGAGGGGACCTGACTCCTCCAATGGCGCTGAGTGGGATGGTGGCCACCAAAGCCTGGGTAAGGACAGGAATGGGTACGGGAGTGCTGGGAGAGGGACACGGAGCGAAAGAGAGCGCACCCCAAGAGGGAAAAATAGAGAGTCCCAAGAGGGAAAACCAGACAGTGCTAAGTGAAAAATAGTCCCAAGAGTGAAAAACAGAGTCCTGGGAGCTGCAGGGGCAGCGCTGCCACGGCCCTGTCCTGGGGAAGGCTCCTTGCTGCACCGCAGAGCCCGGCTGAAGCAACGGGATGAGGAGGAGGATGGTGAAGCCTTGAGTCTCGTTCCGTCAGCGCTGCCTCTCCAAGAGGAAGAGCTGGAGAGGGGCAGGAGATGGAGAGATGTTGTCCTGCAGCACATCAGGTGAGTGCAGGCAGGGGTGAATCTTCATCTCTGGGAAAAATCCCGCGGGATTGGCTGGGGGCCCTGCCGGCTGCCAGCCCGGCGCAGGGACGCGCTGCGGGACGGTGACGCCACCACGGAAGGACACGCAGCAGCACGGGCAGGGCCCTGAAAGCCACCAGGAGCCAGGGACGTTGAGGAGAGCCCAGAGCCCTCACCCCGAGGAGCTGCATCCTGGAGGGCCCGGCTCTCCGGAGCACCGAGAGCTGCCAGGGAAAGTGATCGGCTCCGGAGCAGCCACACACGGGAGGAGGGCAGCAGGAGCTGGGAATGCAGCCCTGACCATGCAAGAACCAGCAGGATTCACAGCATGGTGAAGGTGGGAAGGGACCTCTAGGGATCACCCAGTCCAAGCCCTGCACACGCAGGGTCACCTAGAGCACGTGGCACAGGGCTGCGTCCAAGCGGGTTTGGAGATCTCCAGCAATCCTCCAGACTGGGCACCAATACTGCAGATGTGGACACAATACTCCAGAACTGGACACAATACTCCAGATGTGGTCACAATACTCCAGATGTGGACACAATACTCCAGAGCTGGACACAATACTCCAGACCTGGGCACAATACTGCAGATGTGGACACAATACTCCAGAACTGGACACAATGCTCCAGATGTGGCCACAACACTCCAGATGTGGCCTCACCAGGGCTGAGCAGAGGGGCAGGATCCCATTGAGAGGGATGGGATGGGAAGACTCCTGGCCCTGGTTCTTAACGCACCCCAGGATCCCATTGGCCTCTTGGCCATGAGGGCAATGGGGCAGCCTGATGCGAGTCCTGCGGCAGCAGGGATCAGTGCCAGGGCCAGCAGCTCCTCCCCATTGAGCAGAGGCTGCAGACGAGGCCGCGAGAGGCCCCTCGGGGAGGCAGAGCAGGCAGAAGTGGTTACCAGAGCTGCGGCTGAACGGGGAGCGGCTATTCCCGGTGTTCCTGAGAGCCGGACATGCCACCATCCCAGATCGTGGGCTTTCCAACAGCTCCGATGGCTGCCCAGCCGCGGGCCGGGCCGCGGTGCCCTCCGCGGGGCATGGTGACAGTGGGGACAGGTGGAAACGTCACCTATTCCCCCAACCACCACTGTCCTTAGAGCAGCGTCACAGGTACCGCAGGGAAGGGGGAGCAGCAAGGAGAACACATCGTGTTGATGGCCCCGCACAGCGGTCTCTGTCCCCACAGAAACCCCAATTCCAGAGGAAATGAAGCTCCCCCGTGCCTGCTGAGACCTCGAACAGGAGGCAGCCTGGTTTATTTTTTTAGCTAATATTTTAACTAATTTTCACTAA